TACTGTTAACAATTCACTGAAAAGAAATGAGATTCTTGATAAATGCCTATTGTACTCAATGTAGGCAATTTTTTTCATGTATTTCATCAATTAGTTACATGATAAAACAGCTCTGTTTTATGCCTCAATCGTTTTCCCTGTCAGAAATTTGTTTTCCACTTTGTTTTGATGATTTAAATTATGGTTTTGTTATAATATTTAATATTATACTAATTTTGAATTATGAAAATACAAGATGCTCTTTTTTTAAGTGTATGTGTGAACATATATCAAGGACATCAAAACCAATATAAACAGAGACCGCTTTATAGTATCTATAATTCAGAATACATTTATATTTTATAAGGCTGCATGCCGTATTTTTGCATTTGCTTATCTTTATCTTCTAGTTGCATTGCTAGTTTAAGGAATCAGATTTTATCCTTTGTATTCCAATACTGATCTTCAGTCTCTGTTTTTCTAAGTGCTATTTTAAATTATCCATAATAAACAGGTAAAACCTGTTTATTATAACTTGTTAGAACTTGTGTTTTAAAATCAAACATCATAATAAAAATCTGATATTTTTCCAAAATACGAGTATTATGAGCAAGTAACATCCAACTATTTTTCCTTTTTTACTTTAACTTTTAAAAATTACTTACGCTCCATTGGTTTGGTTCCGTTGACATATTTTAAAGCTTGATGATTTTCAGTTAGTTGTGCAACACCAACACTGATAGGATTGAGGTTTATAAATTAGCAAGGTAGAATTTGGGAAATATGCCAAATCAGAAAACATTTTAATTAATGAACATCATGGGAAAGACTGATGTCTGTCTTTTGTCTGTACCTAAATGTGGAATCATAGAATCATTAAGGTTGGAAAAGACGTCCAAGATCATTGAATCCAACCTTTGTATCGCCTTCACTGTTTGTATATTGGCACACAAAATTGTTTTTGCTATTTTTAACTAAGGTTGTTGGACATAAGTTACCAAAAATAAATGGAAATAAGCAAGTAATTTCTTCTGATACTATTTACAGTGCAATACATGTTAACCTCACTTCACCTTTCTTCTGCGTTGCTCCATGTTCTCAATCCATTCATTCTAATCACTTATTTCGAATTCTGGCTACTTTTTGGTTATGTATGCAAAATTTCCAATTATTCTTCTATAGCTAAAGTAATCTTCATTAAATGTGAATTGATGTGCATAAATAAGTGCAATACAGGATGTTAGATTGTTCTAGAGTGTGAATCTCTATATGTTTTGGAAAACTTAAGTACATAGTCTGTGGTGTGAAAGCTTGTTCTAAAAATACAGTTCTTTTTTAAAAATTAATTTGATCCTTCAAATATATGTGCAAGGGGAATTATGATTGCACAGTGGCTATTCAGGATGAAAATTGTTTTAGGTGAAGTAGAAGGCTGAGAAAAATAACTGATGAGAGTGACATGAGAAATCAATTCAGTTTGTGACAACTAAATTTCAGTATCAAAATGGAGGTACCCATGGTGAGGTAAATATCTTTCTTTGCTTTATAGTTAAGAGCAGCCTAGTCATTATGGCTAGTTGTTACAAAATGATTCAGCCAACACACCAATAGGCATCCCAGTTCTGAATGGAGTCACTTTCCAAGCTACGTTGCCTTTAATTGGAAATTAGATTCTTAACTGATGTTTAGATACTTTTAGATACATCAATTTAGGTGTTATAAGTTGAGTGAATCCCAGTTAATGTGTCACACAGCTCATTACTTTAGTTTTTGCACTTGTGCTGGTATGCAGAACCGGTTAGCATCCTTAACAAAAATTCATCAGGTTTCTGTGGACTGACTTTCAAAATATTTAATAATACAGTCTTGATACTTGTTTGTATGGGTGACACTAATTGTACATGAGCACTGTTTTTGTGCCAGCCACGTAATATAATTTTTTTCCTTGTGTCATCTTAACCCACCTTCTCTTACTAACTGCATTGTTTTCCATGTGTCCACACTGCCACGTCCCCACAGAATATTGCATAAGTGGTGCGTGGGTGCTTGTGTTCCTGGAGTTTGTGACAATGAGACTCTCTGAGCGCAGAGAGGAACTGGGTGAATCCACCCAGAGGTGTCAGTACTTGTAATCCTCCCAAGAAGGATTGCTGTCTGGCTCTCCAAAGCCAAAGCCTTCAGACCTGAAAGCCTCAACATAGTGACACACAGTTTGTATGGCATCACTTGCTTAGACATCCAGGAGCCAGCATGGCAAAGACCAAATTGGCAGAGAAATTGAGAAATGCAGAGCTTTAGCAACACTGTTTTCTACAGTGCACTGAGTAACTGAAGGGAATATTGTAAGCAAACAATTTGCACAGCTCTGCGTGGACTCGACACAGTAAAAATATATAAAAAATGTTAATCATCCCTTCCTCTTCGCATCTTCCTTTCCTTAGCTTATCCTGAAACTGGTACATATCCTTCTACACAAAAGACTTTTCCCATCTGCTTTGAACTCTAATACCCATTTTCCCCTTTTTTCACAAGGTCCCATTCCCTTTGGAACAAGTTCACATTCTCAACCCAATCTTCAGAGCTGCTTTTACCTTGCTAGCTTTTTAGACCAACTTGCCAGTTCTTAGGATTGGAAAATAATATTCATGGAATAAGGTAGCATGCCAACAGTAGCAGGTCTGACTCTTGTTTAGAACTTAAAAGTGAAGGTAAGGATTAAGATTGTGCAGAGAAATTTAAAAAGATGGTTAAAAATATTGCAGTTCAAGATGGAACTTTGTTTTCAGTATCTCCTTGTTTGAAAACAGCAAATTTCTTGCAAATGGGCTGATTTTCTTTCCTGGTTTAGCAGTACACATACCGGTGATTCTGTTGGATTCAGTGGTTCTTGTGCTGTTTTGCCAAGTTTGTTAAGGTCTTGCTCAGTAAATATGGAGGGGGTTTAGAGCAAATATTAAGGCAACCTTAGCTAAATCCTTATGATAAATTTGTCTGTGATGCCAAAATAACTTAATCGTTGTGGACTAATTTTTCATCCCCAGTCCCTGTCATTCCTTCCCGTAGCTTCACATTAGAGAATCCTCCTGTCACAGGGGAAGATTGTGTGAGAGCTGGCTCTCCAGGGCCTATTCCAAGTCTGAACACAGACAGTGCTGTCAAGTACAGGACAGATTCTGTAAAGCAGAGAAGACTTTAGACTGCCAAGTGGATCTTGATACAAGAGAATTTGACCCTACACATACAAGTTTCAGCTCTGTTTCTGAAATAAATCTGTGTGACAGTTTTGGGGTTTTGCCTTGTTCAAACATGTAACTATTTGGTGTACAGAATAATGCAGTTTAAGTATAGGAACAGCATTTGCTAGTGTCAAAACATTGTTTATGTACAATTTAATCTCCTGTGATGGTGTATTTATTTGCTGTATACTCACTTGAGTTATTTTCATCAAGAAATTCTGTCTATGTGTCGCTTTGGCAACATCTTTGCAGAGCTTACAACTTTGAAAAACATGTTGGCATCAGCTATGCAGTCCTTTTAAACAGCTGCTCTGCAGTCATGCTGTTTCAACATGCCACCACACATGGCTGAATTATGCAAATAGTTAATATTAAATGACTGAGATACAAGAACAATTTGTACACTTGATAAAGCCAGTCTGTGGAGTGTAACATCCATTCATGTAACTGAGTTAGTGTGCGACAATTTAAAGGCTACAGCATGATTCTTTTGACTTTGTATCTTGTACTAAAAGCAGCAGTGGACAGAGAGAAGGTATATGGCAGGAATGTTTTAAAAGGCTGAGACCTTTTTTTAACTCATTACTAATAATGCAATGAAAATAGAATGTGCCTCAATGTAATTTTCTGGCAAGTATTAAGAAATAGGTAAGATGTAACAAATGTTTCTCATTCAGCTATAAATATGAATTGCCCTGTTCTGATTGAGAGATAAAATGTTAATTATAAAGAAGATATATATATTAATGCAATAACAGTATTGCTTATTGAAGAAAACATCATTTGTAAAAAGCAAGAAAACAAAACCATAAATAGTTTTTTTAAAAAATTAACATTGTCTTAAAATTTACTTTGAAAGGCTTTTCTACTGGCTTTACTGTCCTACTTCTATAATACTTAATGCTCTAAATAATAATAATAATAGTAATAGTAATAATAATAATTAATACTTTAAATTCTGTAACTTACATGAACCAGAGGGGGAATATTAGGCACTAAGTGTGATGCAAGATGACAAAAGATGATGTTCAGTTTAAGTTACAAAATGCTATTTTTTTCCTTTCTCACTCTACTGTACATTTTGAATAATCTGTTTTGTTCAGCTAAGTAGTAAGGAAAGATTACTTTTTTAATTAATCCGAATTGTTTTCAAAGCAAATTATTAGGATATCCAGAAAATGCCTCCATTTCTATATGTTGTCGGTTTTCTTTTCCCATGTTGAAACTTTCATTTTTCACAAAATTTCTTTTCCAGTCTGATCCTGTTTCTGCTGTATGTCCTCTGAAGGTTTTTCATTGATTTTTTTCTTTTCTAATCTGGATAGAAAGACACATATGTTTCTCTACTAATGTATTTATACAATTTCCGTGCAAGTACTAGTGCTCAGAAGTCCAGTTTGTCACAGTCATTCAAATTAGATTTGTAAACTCTTTCAGCCTGACAGAATAAAGGCAAATAAATTCTTTTAAATTAAATGGAAGTTTAAGTTAAAAGGGATAGTGGGTTCTTTATTACAGAGTAAATGTTTTCTTTAGCTGCCTTTAAGCAAGACAAAATTTGAGTTATATAAATCCTCCGTGCCCATTTTATTTTTTTACTTTTACTAGGGTCCAATTAGTAATCTGATTAATTATAGCAAGTATATGTTCATTCTTGTTATATTTGCTGATCCACTTACACATTTAGTTTGGCGAATATAAAGTTATTATTAACAAATAAATATTTAATTGGTTCAAATGTAATTTAACTAAATAACTTAGCATTGTTCTTTTGTGGTTTTATAGGAACTAGCCACAATGAAGCAGATTCTAATTAGTCTGCATGGTAAACACTATGAACAAAATCTACCTCAGTCTCATACTGATGTAAGAAGTGCAACTGGAAAAAACAAATCAAACCCTTCAGTAAAACTACCACCAGAACACGAAGAAGAAAATATATTTACACCTAAGCCAACGTTATTTGTAAGTACAATGACAAGACTAAGTGATAATTTTTCAATAATTCTTCTCACTTTTTAAAAAGAAAAACATGGGTTCATACGTCAAGGAGATGTATAATTAATTCAGCTAAATCCTTGCAGCTCTTTATGAAGTGGTCAACGTCAAGGAGATAAATTACAGGTTTTGATGTTATTTAGCAACTTGATACTTTCTACATCTTAAGTTCACAGGAGACTAGTCCTTTTTTTTAAAAAATATCATTGTAATATTTCAATACTGAGAGTGATTAGCAAAATTTTAATAGTTGTAGGGATTCATAGACTGTGTATTATTTTAAATCTATCGTGGTCGTGTATGAGTGGAGTGCGTGCATATATATATTGAGCAGCAGCAGTGAGGAAATAGGTGCATTTATGTATATTTATAGTCATGTATATGTGTATATATCTAAATACATATAAAAAAATAGAAGACCAATATTGATATCACCTCTATTGCTAAGGATACCTAATATTACAAACCCCTGTTTTATTCCTTCAGAAACTAAATGCTTGGATTTTAGTACATGAAGTGGCCTGCTTCAGATTTAGCGCATCTGGTATTTGAAAGCTTCATTAAAATGGTTTAGAAGTTTCTGACTATGGCTGTGTCTGAACTGATAAATTCAAGAGAAACAAGTTGCAATGCTGAATCTCAAAACAAATGATAACTTCAATACACTTCATGATGCTGCCTTTCTGTAGGGTGTATCCACACTACAGAGCATATGTGTTATTTTGGTCCGAATATGAGTTTTGGGGTTTTTTCTTTTCCTGGTGGAGACTTTAATATTCAGTGTCTCAAACAATATGAGGTTTGTGTTGCAGCATGCTAGGCACTGGTTTTATAACACAAAATGTAGAAAATGGCTGCATCTCTTGGACATGATGTAAGAGCATTGGGGGATTTTAGGGGTTCAGAATTTGCTTGGATAGCTTATGAGACTAAACACAGGCTTACCCAGTGCTGTCTCATCCACAGTCCTTTTGGTAGTGCTAAATCATACTGCTCAAACTTTGTCTTTGATGGAGCTGTTCAGTGATCCAAAACATGAGAAAACAACTCATTTTTGCAGAAATGATCCAGGGTTTCAGTGCGTAATCTGTCCTGTCTTACTTAGGGATACAGATGGCATAGGTTTTCTTGTTAGATGGGGAAAAGAAATTAGTAGTACCATGAAAATCCTGCCAGTTTAGGTCAATTTCTAGAATTTTTAAAGCTTGCACAGATAGACCAGATTTATTTTTGTAACTGAATTCTTCAAAATTAATAAAGAGCATTTTTTAAACTGGATTATTAAGTCTTGGAGGAAGGAATGAATAGAAAGCAGACAGAAAATGGAACTAGAAAGTTTAAGGACAAAAGACTAAAGAGTGTGGTATTCACTAACTCAAGAGATTATACCCAATCCTGAAAGCAGAACAGTCCTTACTTTGTTCCACCTCCACTTCATTAGTTTTATTTCTATAAAAACTAAAACTATTTTGTTTTATACAAACCACCACTGAATTTGCAACAAGAATGTTAAGCAATCCTGACTGTGTAGCAGTAGCCCGTAGGATTATGAAGGCAAGGCAAAGTTGCTCACAGATAACTCTCTGCAGTTAAAATACTGTCTGCAGTGTCAGAAAACTCCTGAATTCTTTTATTTTTATTAATCATTTTTAAGAACTAAATTTCTGCATAAAGTGTTGGTTAATTTTGGCACACCTAAGATCTCTTTTCTAAGTTCCATTCTCTTCTCAACTGAGAAAGTCAGATGATGTTATTTGAAATGAAACCTATTTATGGCACAGTTATGCATGTTTTCATTGTGATGGCTATTTTTAAATATAATTTAGTTTTTACTGTATAGTCTACTTTTATAATCTGGAAATAGGGAGGCTGTAATACAGATATGTTGTAATAGTAACCTTAAATGCACAGTTTTGTTTTTAATACTTGCATTTAAGCAAAAAACTCAATTATCCCTGTGAACTACATAGGAAGGAAATAGACTTTAATGTAGATTGCGTGTTTTTCTTCTGATGTTCACTGCCGCACAATTAAATGTTCTTTATTTTACAGACAAACAAAGAGGCACCTGTATGGTACAAGAAACTGCAGAAGAAAACATCACCATAGCATTTTTCCAGAAGTATTCAAAATAATTCTTTGGGGAGCTTTTCTTCAAAGGAAGTCATTTTCACCATAATGATGCCCTTTTTACCTTAAAGGCAAACAACTGTTTTGGCTTTAGCAGCTGTTTTGGATCTTTTGTAATTGTCAAATAATCTTATGCTTCATAAAATAATTTTTAGATCTGTCATGTGAATAAAATGTGTGGAAATAATGTGTGCAATGATTTTACTAACATATATTTGAATTTTAAAAGATAAATAAACATTAGCATGTTGTACACATTTATAATCTGGGCAGTTAAAGGATGCGTTATTCAGAGTGGTCAAATGAATACATGTTTCAGCTTTTTTATATCGTTTTTCTTGGACCCTGTGTTTCATGTCACATTCCTTGCAACTATTTTGACTTACAGAAATTTAAAAAAAATACATGATTTAGCATTAAACTACATCCTACTTTCTATGTCAGCTGGAAAAAAATAATTTCTTATCAGCTTTGATTTGTAGTTTGTCATTTGATGTCATTTGTATAACCAAACAGGCACTAAAAATACTCTAAAGAAGCAATAAAATGCCTCTTAATTATCAACAATGATACTTAATGGGCTAGATAGTAGTGTAGTTACATCAATGAAATAATAAAAAAAGAACCCTGATATGTGAGTACTGTAAGGCTGTACTGGTGAAATGGGTAACTTGCCATATTTAATTGTATGAAAATAAACCCCATCTTCAAAGAAGACATTCTACTTATTTATTCCACTCCACCATCTATTTTGACTGTAGAAAAGTTCTCTAATATTTTAAAGCACTTTTGACTGCATATGGTTTATTTCTATATATAACATAAATATAGATGATATTTTTTTAAGTACTGCATACTGAAAATATTGCTTGAATTTCATTTAAGAGAAAGCTCCGTTTTCTCAGCTCCTTTTTCATTGACAATATCTCTTCAATCGATTATTTGTTCCTACCTGGACGTGAGCAGTAATTATTTACTATATACTATTGAGTTATATCAAGCTAAAGATTCCCAGATACACTTTTCTTCATTTTCCAAACAGCAATTTGAAGCACAGCTATACCTCCTCTACTCCAGGAAAGCTTCAGTTTCTTTTATTTTTGTTTTTTAGTTCTGAGACAGTGAGGTAAAAATGCTGGCAGTTACGCATCACAGGTTTAAAATTATCATTTTGCGAGTGAGGGAGGCCAAGTATGTAGACAGAGGTAATATCTTTTATTAGGCTCTTCACTGGGGAAGGAAATCACACAAACCTATCAGTACAGACATTTCTGAATAACTTTGGTTTCCTGAAGTCTAGGTTTTATCTAATTTATATTTTTATGTGAACAGAATCCTTAACTTTTACTTCCTATGAAACAGCTCCTATATGCAGACCTAATTTTGTAGTTTGCAATAGATACTCCGTAATGATTCAGTCCCCAGTTTAACTTCCCAGACTATCCAGTTTGTCTGTTACCAATGAATAATTAAATTGTATTATCTAGAAGGACTGCGAGCTGTTTTAGGCAAGATACTAGGCTAGAATCTTAAGTATTTACTATTTGTTTGCCTATAATATCCTTATAGACAAACTGGTGAGATAAGGAATGTAGGGTGGATGGAAAATTGGCTGACACACCAACCTGCAGAAAATGTGATCAACAGTGCAAAGTCCAACTGGAATAGTAGCATCCCTTGGCAAGTTCACAGGCAATACCAGATTTGTGGGAGTAGTCTATACAGTGGAGGGCAAGGTCTCAGAGGATCTCAACAGGCTGGAAATTGGGTCCACAAGAACTGTATGAAGTTTAACAAAACCAATTGCAGTCCCACACTGAGGGTGGAATAACCCCATATGCCAACACTTCTGAAAAGCAGCTTGGCAGGAACAGACCTTAAGGTCCTACTACACAACAAATGGAATGTGAGTCGGCAATGTGCCAGCTGCATCCTGGGTGCCTTTACCAACAGGATAGCCAGCAGATGCAGGGAAGTGATCCCTTCTGTTTGGTACGTGGGAGATCGCATCTGGAGCATTGCACCCAGTTTTGGGCTTGTTCAAGAAAGACACTGAGATACTGCTGGGAGTCTAGCAGAGGTGCACCAAGATGATCAGGGGCTAAAGCACCTGATGTAGAAGGGGAGGCTGAAAGAACTGGGTTGGTACAGCCTTAAGATTAGAGGACTTAGGGGAGGCACTTGTTGCAGTCTCCACCTACCTAAGAGACAGCAGGGCCAGACTCCTCTCAGAGGTGCACAGCGATGATAGCCTAAGAGACAATGGACACAGGGTGGAGCACTGGGAAACTCAGTTAGCTCTTATGAAAAATGTTTTTACTGTAGCGGTGGTCAAATACTGGAACAGTTAGCCTAGAGAGGGGATGGAATCTTCATCCTTGGAGGTGTTCAGAACTCAACTGGACTAAGTCCTGAGCAAACTGGTATAATAGGACCTGACTTTGAGATGGACTAGATGACTGATTTTCAGCATTCTTGTCCAACCTAAATTACTCCATAGTGTTATTTCTAAATACACTGATACAAGATAGTGACATTTATTTGCTTTTACTATTCAAAAGACAAAATTCTGTTTAATTCTTCTATGGAAATGCAATACACAGGAACATTTTGACTCTTACAGAATTGTGCATTGTAAAGTTCTTTGTCCTCCAGGCAGCCCATTTTTTTAAGAAGGCTGCCAGAATATTAGGCTGATTTATGGTAAGATTTTATTAACATTTAAACAGCTCTTAGGATGACAAAGTGACATATTCTGACAAAGGATTGAGGGGTTTTGGGTTTGTTTTTTTTTTTAATTATTACCGAGGTCCATCTTTAGATGTGCAAAAATAATTTACTGGAACACACCGATAACACACAGTGTTGTTGGCAAGTTCTTGTAATCAATGTAGGCCCTTTGTAAATCTTCTCAATATGTTTTGGGGTTTTTTTCCAGTTGAAGATTTTGTATTTTTCCTGTGATTCCTCACTAGACTCCAAGGCTATAATTAATTATCTAGGAGGAGACCTTCTAAGCTTCTCATGAGAAAACTAGAATGTCACTTAAATATAACTATTCAAATGTAAGATGCCTTACAGCAAAAATTAATTAAGCTTTTTACTCTTTAAGTAATGAAAAGGTGCAGTTGCATTACCTGTACAGCACTTTCACTGATGTTCTTTCCCACAAACATAGTTGTCAAATGAATTGTTCCAAAATTATTCTTCATGGTCTTTGCAATCTCCCATTGTAGCAGACCTTGTGTCAATGATGTGTGAGTCAAAAATAATGAAGTAAAGAAAAATTTCTAAGGCCAGTCATGCATCTAAGTAACTTGTGACTGAAGTGCCAACCCACATAATCATCCTCAGTTCCTCTTTTTCAAACCAAAGGCAGCAAAGCCTAAATAAATCTTTATCCACTATTACATTTCGTGGTACATTAAGTAGGTGTTACTTAAGTGATAAGTTTTGTAAATATAGGGTTTAAACTGGAAAGAAGGAAGGACAGTGGTTTAGAGCAGGTTAGGATGTTTTTTCTTTTTTTTAACACTGTTTTTTCTTTTTTTAATTGCTTTCTCACCTTTCTGTCCCTTGTTTGAAGCAAAGAACCTTTAGTGCATCAAGATAATCTCTTACTTGAGGAAAAATTTGAAAACATAATTACTTTTTTTTTAATAAGGACCTAAACTTTTACAGCTTATTGCTGAATCCTATGGTCATAATTCACTGGCAGTGTAGTTTCTAAATATTTTCTGTACAAAGAAACAATATGTCATTGGGATTTGTAGTCTTCATCCCTTTCAAGAATCTCTGTACAAAACAGTGATGAAACCTTGTAAAAAATGAAAAATTGTAAATTCAAATATTAGTTATCTGACTATTTGTCAATATCTCTGGGATACAATTTCCTGCCTCTTAATCATTAGCTGTTCTTCTCTGTCTCAGTTATACTTTTGTAGGAAACCTAGTTCCAGAAAAAAAAGAACACTTCAGTCTATTTAACCTCTGACATCTGTAAGACGGTCAGGCAAAATTCTTTTACTCCTGATAAGCATTCATCAACTTCCATGTGTTTGAAACAGATGACTCAGAAAACATGACATTGTAGAAACAAATTATTACCTTTTGAAAAAGTATTTAATGTTATTATGTATGTGTGCCTCACTCAGTTGTCGGTCTGTAACACATTTACATGAAAACAAACTTATGCACAACAATTTGAGTCTGTAACATCCTGTCATCTTTCAGGGTTGTGCTCGTTAGGGAGGTCTACTGAGGAAAGCGTTTCTATCCCTGTTAACATTACATTTAGTAGATCACATGCCAGACTTCTTACTGAGTCAAAGAAATGTATCCCTGGTATTTTCCGATACCAAAGAATATCGAGAATCTGTATTCATTCTCAACCTTTGAAAATGAAACAAGTATCTCTAGAAGATCAAGTTTTGCTTAGTGTCTTTGGGCAATATTATCCCCTTCCTAAATTCCTAGGATTGATTGGGAACTCTTGACCTTTAAAATGCATGCTTCCGTAGCTTAAGTAAGGCAGTTACACTTGGGGTATTTGGGGCTGAAGCTGGGCAGCAATTGACAGCAGTATGAGGTGCCAACTCTCGGGGACAGCATCGCTAGCAGAAACGTACGGTAGTTGGGAATTAGGGCAGAGGGAGTGGCGACTGCTGCAGAAGCTTTTAGCAGTAGAAGGAGTAGGTACAGTTCTTCGCAGATGTCAGACCCTCTGCAGCTCTTTAAGCCCTCTACTGACAGCACAAGAACCACGAACTTTCTTCTACAGAGTTCATTTTGAAGAAAGAGTTCCCCGGGTTTCTTTCCTCACTGATAAGTTTTGCATGACAGTAAATACTTGTGGAGTTTGTTTCTTGGTTTTTCTTTTTGAGAGAGACAGAGACTTTTTCTCAGGACATTGGAACTAGGTTCAAAAAAATGGTGAATTTCAATCAGTTTACCCTTTAAAGGATGAAGGGGACAAAAATCCCCAGCAAATTTCATCCTCATAAAAGGAGCAAATGGCAGAAGTATTATATTAAATGTAAAAAGTTAGGATGGATCGTGGAAATAGCTTTTACTCAAAAACTGAGATGTTTTCACAGACTGTGTGCCCTTTTTGAAGATAGTACAGAAATAACCACAGCAAAAGAGAATGCTGCTTTGACTGAAGTAATAGAATCAACTTTGTTTGACCATGAATAATTGAAGTCTTTGTGTTAATGCTCCTTTTAAGGGAGTAGTGGATCAGTAAATGTAACTTAATTGCAGGAAAAGTCTTATGGATGGAATTTATGACTGTATTTCAATGAAAGTCTTTTCATTTTTCCTTTTGGTTCAATAGAAAAAGGATTACTTAGATTATTCACTGTTGCAGCTGAAATCGTTAGCAATTCCCAGTGGTCCTGTTTTTCGTGATTTTAGAGATACATATTGTGGCATGCAAGACTGTCTTTTCTTATTCAGTTTTTTAGAAGGATTTGTTTATTTTGTGCATTATTATTAGGTAGAGTCTGGCAATGTAGTGCTTGACTTCTACAAGGGAATTTTCATATACAATATATATGTGAATATACATGTGAATACAGGATTGTTACTGAAGTGCAGTGGTTCTTCTTTAAAAAAAAGTTGAAAATATTCCCACTGAGTTCTCTCTGAGGCCTTGAGAGAGGGTCATTTCTGTGCCCAAGCTTTCTCATTCTCCCCATCACGGGTAAAGTCCCACACATACAGGAGACTTGTCACTCTGTGCTTTGCAGGCCTGTGGTTTCCAAGCACACAACTCCCAAAGCCAGTGGAGCAGTCATCTGGGGCTACATGTAAGACATTCACCAAAAAATTAATATCACTCATCTGTGGTATTGTGAGAATTCTAAGCAAGGGAAAAATACAATATTTCAATGCAGTCTATGCACTTGTCTTTTTTTCCTTCCTGGAGGTTAGCATATAAATAGCATTCCAGTGAATCTTCACTTTTGGGAAACAGTCTACAAGTCCTGCAAGGATGGCTAAGTCCTTTTTTTCTGATACTTCATCAGAGATGTTCTGTGTTCAGGTACTGACCAGACAACTCCCAAGAGATCATTAGGCACCTTTTCTTGGACATTAATCTTTATTTTATTAACTTATTATTTAAATACTAAGTCCCCAGAATTCACTCACTCCTTTATGAGTAAAGGAGTACGTGCTTGAAAGTAACAATGAGCAGTAAAGGGACTAATATGTCAATGGCTTGAGTCTTACTGAATTAGCACATTCCTTGTCATTTTGTGTCATTTCTTTCATTATTGCAGTAATTACGTTGCAGAATTGCATTTGTGCCATTCAGCAGGGAATGGGAGAACAATAACAGTGTTTACCAGCAGCAGGAGGGAGCTTACCTTTCTTTCTCAACCCTGAAAAATCTCTGCAGGCTAATCTCAGTGGCAGCCAGGATGCCCTCCTACACAATGAGACTGTCTGAAACCTCCCTTAGGGAAACCTGAGTGAGCTGATTAGATCTCTTGTCCATGAAAACCAAATAGCCAATCCTATGAAATATAGCGGTTTTTCATTCTGATGTGCCATTTCAAATCTGTGCAGGCTGAAACCTTTGTCAAATATATTTACACCATGATAGTGATTCTGAGATAGCTGAATGATTTAAAAACAAGTACAGAGTATTTTCAAATCAGTAAACTCTGTGAAATTACAAAGAAACAAACTATGTAAAGTTTTTATGTTTCCAGGTGCAGTAATATCAAGATCTTTGATAATTTATTATTCTTTTGTAGTTGTAAACTGAAATGTTTTGTATATATTCATATACATTTTTAACATAAATGTAAGTGAAATTATTTGGGTTTAGTTATATTTATTTTTAATACAAAGTAAAATATTTTTCTGTGAGCATCCATGTTTAAGGTGGTTTTGGTCATGAATTAAATTACAATAAAGTATCTGGAAATTTTTTTTTTTAAAAATATATTACTGTACTGCATCGTCTTCATGGGCTTGTCTGATCCTCTGTTCTGGCTCTAGGAATTGTAAAATTTTTGACAGAAAGGTGCAAACTCTCCAAGGCCCAAGAGCAGACAGCACCGCATTTACTGATTTTAATTACAGCCCTAGTTTTCATAAAAAAAATACATTATCTTTGATAAGCAAGCTTCCAGATCCACTGGATGTTTCTGGAAACAAGATTGCCTAATCCAGTTTCTCAGCTATGTTTTTTGTTACTCTTTCATCTAAGAGATTTTCTGTGTTCTATATTCTTATCACTTCTATCTAATTTCTGAAAACATAACAATGTAACTGTATGGTTCTCTTGCTTGGGTGCCCCTCAGCCATGGAGGTGTCAAAAGCAGACATATGCTGGCATTCTCAGACATCACCTAAGCTAGTCCTAGTCCTGACAACACAAAGCCCTACTTCTACACAGAGAGATGACAGTACTAACATTTCTTCACCCTGTATGAAATGCCAGTTGTTGGGTTTGCAGTAGGAACAAGCGTGATCCTGAACATGGATTTATTGGAGCAAAAACAGTTTGAACAAACCTGGTAAGGCTCTTGGCTTCACAGTGCTCTGTAGTCATTAAACTGCTACCATAAGAAAATGAGTACCATTTTCCTCAGGTTGTGGATAGGATTTAATCTGATCATCCCTGCTGAGTGTTCATAGAAGGTAAGGTAATGATGGGGGCATTCCTGAAGAAAGGAGTGGTCTTCAGCCTTTCAGCTTTGAAAAGACACTGCCAAGACAACATTCAGAACTTCCAGTCTATTAGTTTGAGGCACCTTCTACAGACTGTGTAAAAGCTCCAAAGTACTGATGGGGTACTGAATTTAATATGTGCCTCTTCCTTCGTTTTCTAATATCTGCTTTAAAAAAATTCCAGTTTTCTAGGTTTTTATTTATCCCATTCTTAAGCACCTGTCTTCATGAAAGAGTAAGGAACCTTTGACAAATATTAAGGATTATGGATGCCATGACTACTTGAACACTTTGCAAAGGTTAGAACTTTTCCATTGTATATTGCCAGTTAGAGTACATTTAATACAATAAAACAAATTAGGGCCATAGCATTTGATGGAAGGTAGATATTTAAAAATATAATGCATTAATGATTAATGAAGTAATTGTAGAGTTTAAGCTGCATAATTCAGTGAATAGGCAACTTTTTTTGGCTGTCTGGTTATTACTTAGCTTTCTGTGAGCCCAGTTTTCACTCCTGCATTTAAAGTAGAGGGAGGTGGGCATTGTATGACACTCTGCCTCAGTGTGATATTTTTGAAGGAAATACTGACATGAAACTAGTTTAATGGTACCAAAATGTCCTTGGGATAAAGAACATAGAGCTTTCTTTTTTTATATTCTTAAATTAGACACCAGGAAAGCTTATTGACACTGCTCTATAGTATAAATAACGTCACCTGGATTGGAAGTGCTGCAATGGATTGTTGCAAAATGCTTCTGTTGATAGAACACAGTGGACCAAGCTGGTCTAACCTACTATGATTAATTATTACATAGGTGAATTTCACTATCTTCAAATAATTGTTTTAATGTAAGATTTAAAATAGCAGGAATGGATGCAGATGTGATGTTGATGAAAGACTGTTTGTGCAATTGCAACCTGCTGTCTTTGCATCACCTGGCAATGCTAATATGAAGCAAAAGGAAACGAGGTAACTTTTTCTTCCCTTCCACTTTTATTTCTTTTACTTGTCAGTGAAGTCATATTGAATGCAAAACTTAAAGTTTTAAAAACTGTAGTCCTGCATGGTAAAACACTTTAAAACATTTAGAACAGGATGTTTATCCTGATCCTGACAAAAAGCATGTTTTAATATTAGATTGTTTCTCCTGTGCAATAAAATACATTTTTTCCCCACGTTACATGCACTTATGTAGTATCTTATGGTGATTTGTACCCAAAACTGTGTGCCAAATTTATGAATCATTAGGCCTTACTCTTGAATCACACAGAAACAAGGTTTTCTAGTAATTAAAAGAGGCTTTGTATTTTGTTACTCTACAAAGTTATCAGTATGCAATCTAAAGAGAAAGAAGCCTTGTTTTGTTAAAAGATTGAATCAACTTTTCCTCTCCTTTATCTTATTTATATCTTTCAAGCAGCACAGGGATTAAGACGTTGTTAAAGTCTTGCCTCATCCAACTTGCCACATTACTTACGAGTTCGTGCGTAAGCGAGCCCTGTAGCTTAACTAAGCATGTTATGAACCGGTCAGGTAAACACATTTGAAATGAGCTGTACATTCATGAACAGCAGTTTTCCATACCATAACACAATAGGCATAGACCAAACTTCCATTAAGTCACCCAGCAACAAGAATACCTATGGGTCAAATGTGAACATCCTAATACATAAATATTTCGATCTAGAGCAGCTCTAGTAAAAAAAAATTAACGAAGTATCATTAAAATGGAGAAAGGTTTTTATATTGGTCTCTTGTTCTAAAAATACTTCTTTTTATTTATATTCTTCTTTAATAATGCAAAAAGCATTTTCAAAAAACAATTATGAAAAAAAGAACTTTTAGAAAAATATTAATATATTACAAGTGGAAACAAGCTAAGGTGGTTGTAACATATGACTGCAAGTTAAATGCCTCTTTTTGAAAAAAATATCCTTAATTACTTGAATAAATTAATATCCTTAAAAGAGGTGCAGAATAAAGCTGAATTGAATATTGTCCTGAATATTCTGTTGCATGCTTTTCCAGTATGTTTTGTAGAAAATAATCTGACACTTGAAGCTGAAGCTATGAGTGCCAATTTTAACAAAGTGTTTCATGTTTTTCTTACTGAAAAAATTATTCACTTCTGTTCATCAGGCTCTAAATATTTTCAGAAAGGCAAAAATGATGAGGGAGAAAGGCAACATTGTGTTAACTGTTTAACTATGTTGAATATTATTTACCATAATTTATTACTTAATATATGTCTGAAAACTTAAATTTAAAACATTCTAAAGGACTCTGAATGCATCTGCAGCTCCTAGGAATAATATACTTAGCAAAACTAGGGTGAGATATGTAATGGAGCCCTATGTCATTAGATATTTCACCTTCTGTAACATTTGATTTGACTTCTATTTTAATAGACATCTTACTTATGTGACTTATTTGAGAAAAGGGATGATTCTGTGTTGATCCATTTTGATAGACGTATGTCACATCTAAAGGCCTATTGTGAGCAGACATTTGAGTCATCACCGATACCCACTATCATTTTTCACCTATCATCTTATTTCTAGATTGTTGCAGTATTGGCAAATCTGTCATTTTCTGACTACGCTTTACCTCAAGTAAATTAAACTGTGTGGAGGCAGTTCCTTCCTTGATGGAAAGTGTTCATCAGGAGGCAAACAGAAACCATGAAGGCGGATGCAGTTGTGCCTTTTCATTACACTACGCCATTAAAAATGCAGAAATTTCCTCACCCAGGAAGATCAATATTGTCATCAACCCCCAAGTGAACAGGAGATGGGACTTGTGCAGCCACATTTTATCAAGGTTGATCAGCTTCCTTGTCGTAGAACACTGAAGTCTTTGAGGTTGGTAGCATTTGGTTCATTCACCTTTCTTACTAGTCAGCTTGTGATGGCCACTAAACACAACAGATGCTACGATGAGTTTTTAGCTTCCCTAGTGAGTCCAAATACATTCTCTAACTTCTGGATTTTTGATGATCAGGATTTTAGACATTCTCATCACAAAATAACACTCCTCTTCTATGGAATGACTGGGATGAAAAATCAAGTACACATTCATAAGTTTTCTTGGGAAGCACCTTTCAAACTCCTGGCTCACCCTTCTACTGCAACCTGAGGTATGTTTTTGTAATCTCTACTTTGCTGTTATACCTCCTGACAAGTGACATCCAGTTATTCAGCTCACTTATTTAAAGATGTTCAATGTGCCTTCACTGGAGGTCACACCTCAATTAGTCTTGAGGCAGATGCATAGAAAATCAGTACTGGCTATTGAGATTTTTTTGAAATTATTTGTTTGTTCCTAAACTTCCTTTTTCTTCAAAAAATGTCAGTCAAGTTACCAAGATATGTTGAAAAATGGTAATGGTCACATGAGTTATTACCCTTATTATTAAGCATGTGAGAACCTTGTAGTAATTTTAATGTCCTCTGACTGACTGAAAATCATACTTTTGCTGCTGCTGCAGCTGTTTCTGATAGCATAAGGGCTGGTTCCTTCTGGTTGTTGGGGTTTTTTTTCTCCCCAAGGGTATAATGTTTGGACAGACAGGAGATGCTAACTAATTCTTTGTGCTCCTTTGAGCTGGGGTGACTCCTCTGCACAGATCATGGAATTGGGGTGCGCAACAGCAAAAATGGAGCAACAAATTCACTTTAATTAGGAATTCTTGGGCTATGGTGCGCATGCCAACAGTGTTCTGTAGGCTCCTTCTGTGTGATTCTCAAACGCTAAAAAAAAGATCCCTCAGACCACAAGCAGTGATAGTCAAGCAACCTCACTGTGGCAGACTGACCAACATTGAAATTGTCTAGATTTAACTCCAGTCAATCAACCTCCAGTCTTGGTAGATCTTTATCTGACAAGTCAAAGAATCCATTTTCACAGTTCCTTCTCTATTTGGGCATCTATACTGCACATAAGTTTTAAGCGTGTATTTTTTTAAATTATTATTTATTTTTATTAAAAAATAAAGGGAGGAGGCATAAGTAGCAGAGGAGCATAAGTAAGAAAGACTGAAAACTGCACTGTTAA